TAATAGATGTCAAGAGATGTCCACATGGGATGAATGTGGGTAATAGTAGATATAACATTCTCGACAGTCGGAATTACCAAGCCTCAGTATTTCTAACGTTAATTTCACACGGGAAACATAATCTGTAATTCCTCGAAGCGCGTATGTTATTCGCTAATAAATACGATCCCAACCAACACATTGTTGTGTTCCCGTGTGCAACAGCTGCATTACACTGCAACATGATAGTGTATCATTTTGCGAAACAAATATCTATTACAACTCTTTTTCCATCCCCTATGGCGATCTGGTGTAGAATGTGTCTCTAGCACACCATTGCTGGTCGTAAGAGGTGACTAAATTGGGCAACCTGTTTTCCGTTGGTTGCGTCCCTGTGTCGGCAGAGTACGGGCGTCTGATGGTTGAGTGCACAATGGTTCCAGGAATATCGTTCCTTTGCCCAAAACACCACTTTGACCCTTACTTCACCAAGACGGGTGGATAGGATTGACCAGGCCCTGTACATTAATTGTATCTGCACACATTTGAAATCAAATTTGACTTTTACTGTAGTTCTTGGCCCAGTTGTTTATGTGAGAAATCTTGATTGTGAAATCTTTCAGATGCCTAGAGTCGTATGCCCAGGTGTTTCATGAGCCTATCTGGTGGGCTAATTACTTTGAACTTTAATACGTCTGCTTGAGTATACCATTCCAGTGTCCTTGGTTCTGCAAGTTGGAGATCACTTGGCTTATAACATTATCCCTGTGATACTCCATGGGTTGGGAGCTGGGATGGCAAACCATTTACAACTTGAAATGGCACAACCCAAAAAACCCATGTGCATAAGGCGTTTCCTCAGATGACGAGAATACCATCTTGAATAAATCTCCTACTACTGGGTCTATATTTTTAGTGGTTTCTTCCGCTGATGTTACGCCTTTAAAGCTGAACCCATTTGCTATTTCCAAAGCACTTTATAGCATTGTTGGAGATGTCAAGGATGTCCCCAAAATTGGATCTGGATTGCTGCTGGTTGAGTGTAAAACTGCAAAAAAAATCCGCATCTTCACTAGCTGCCAAACATTTAGTTTTACTCTAGTTTTGATTTCTCTGCAGAAAATCCTAATTCCAGCAAAGGTATTATCAGAGATAGGAAACATTGTCTCTCTGATATAGCAGCAATTGAAAAAGCTGATGAATTGATGAGTTACAGAAGTCAAACGTTTCACATACAAAAGCGATAATGCACTCTTCAACTGAAATACTTGACATGAAATTTACAAAGACAAATCGTTCCAAAAATATAAAAGCAGGAAAGTTTAACATCGAAGTGGATCAATACATTCCAAACCCACTTCGATGTTAAATATGTCAACTCGGGCACGGATCACAGTCATGCAACTATCACACGATATGTCAACAATGTGGAGAAGATGACTACGGTTCAAATTCTGAAAGTGTAAAACAAACCTGACTTCCTGGAAGTTCTGTCAAAAGTTCAAAATTCAGATTCAGATTGTAAAAATGAAACACGAAAATAGCCTTCCCAGAACCTATGCGTTTGGTCATGGCTGCTGCCTCTCCAACCACAGCTGTAACTCAGCAGCTTTGACACACATAGGTTTTAAATCAGTCATGTCTCTTGATTGCCAGACAAACAGTCTTGAGTTTTTACAGGCACCTGTTCCTTCATACAGTCCAGTTCACACATGAAGTGTTGACGTTAATTCTGAGGGAAAGGTCCCCGGCGATTTTAATTCCGATAACAACTAATACATTTTCAATGATGGATCAAGTACATATTCACATCCTGCTACTCAAATCTATTCCACATTAGATCTGTTAGTAACAGATTCAAATTTATTAAAGGAATTTACAAGGTCGGTTAATTGTGTGAAAGCGACCATTATCCTTTAACACTAACAGTTCCACACACATCAAGGTGGAATTTTACCAGGGCCAGCTGGCCTTCCTGTCATGTACTTTGTATTGATTGATAGGTTCAGGAATATTTCCTATCCTATCCAGTTGTTTTCAGATATTTTGAATGCATTTGTGTACATAACCATTTCAAAGTCCTCTGCAAATCCACACATTCGCAAACCATGGGTTGATAATGAGGGTAAACAGGCTAGGATGTTAATTCTCGCACACAAGTATCCAAGGTGTGGAACATAGTTTCAAAAATTAAAGATTACCAGATACATTGCAAAATGAATTGGGTGAAACGCTGGCCACAAGCGCTTTGTTATCGAACCATGTTTCTACATTTGAAAACTCAACTTAACTAGTGAAATCTGAAACGAATAAATTAATTTTTCAACAAGAATATTATCAGTTAAGAGGCAAATATGACACTTACAAATCTATACTAACAGGTGGAAACAAGGATGGTGGCCCGGCTGTCCTTGGATCTTCACGACTACCAGAAAATAGTCCTGCTTTCTGAATTATCCTGAATTACGGTCCTGATTGACTGCATTGATTATCCCATTACAAAGGATAATTATTACTCCCAGGTTTCATTCATAAAAGGATATTTATGATGTAACTTCCCGTTTAATTCTTGTTTTGTTAGTGGCTGTACCTTCAACGGGATTGAAGTAACGTGAAAAAGTTGTCCCCTTTAGAGGGTACATCAGTCCTATTTTAGTCAAAGTACTTTTCATCTGTCCATTGTTTTAATCGTAGAATACTTGTTTTTACTAACAGTCACCCGTAGCCAGAGGAATGGTGTAAATCCTGCCGGGGTACCATACAGGAAGAAAATGTTCCGTAAGTCCCCATGGTCCCTAGTATGGTGGCCTCACTTTGGTTGCTGGTCATCCATTATAATCCATTTTTATAATGTATCGTTATGAACAGTTAACGTATAATGGTTACATACTTGTTTTAAATATATATCTGCGATAATCTATTGCCTTTACTGTACTTTGTCGACAGATTTTATGGACTATAATTATGAATTATTACTGTAAAACTTCATTTAGTCATAATATTCCTGAAATATCGCCGATGTGGCTGTAAATCGTAACACATTCGCTGAGTCTTTTTCTATCTGTATGCACCATGTATTTGTACTATTATATAATATTAATCAACTGATGTGTTACAGTGTAACAGCCACTTGCGACAATAATAACTTATTCATGGCATATTATCAGGCAACAATTCATTTTTAGTAAAAGAGTACAAACTAAAGTGTATTTAGCATGAATAGGCTTTGTATATAACACAAGCAAGCAGTTCAAGGCGCCACTTTACACATGAAAGCTTTCCTAAGGTAAGGTACCAATTACAGGTTCTCTTATTCACTAAACAGGATAATACTATGATAAACACCGAACAGGCAAGTGGTTTCCATGAGCACAGTATTAAAAACAATTAATTTGAAATGAAGTGGTATTTGATGTTCCCTCTGCTTTTGGACCCGTGAAGATCCGGGGTAGAATAGGTCTTCAGCAACCCCTGCTTGTCGTAAAAGGCGACTATGCTTGTCGTATAAGGCGACTATGCTTGTCGTAAAAGGCGACTAACGGGATCGGGTGGTCAGGCTCGCTGACTTGGTTGATGCATGTCATGGATCCCAATTGCGTGGATCGATGCTCATGATATTAGTCACTGGATTGTCTGTTCCAGACGCGATTATTTACAGACCGCCCACATATAGCTGGAATATTGCTGAGGGCGGCGTAAAACAACAAACCAACCAACCAACCATCTGCTTTTGATGTTATGGCCACAACAATCAGTTCTGGATTTCTACTGTCACATTTAGCATTAGGAATTCAAATAGGCTACTTCAGTAGTTTTGCGACTACCATACATGTCCTGTGCACAATACACTCAGTCTAACTATTTGATCACATTAATCATGAGACAAAGCATTATTTTACACATCATTGGATGAAAACTTGACTCAAAATTAATCAAAACTGATCAATCAATAAGCGAAAATTCGTCGTTACAATTTCAAGTTGACACTTTTTTTCAAACTTTGGCTCTACCCGGGCATAACTGAATGTCCATTACATGGTTGCGTATGTTAAAGGCATGTGATACATTTCGACTCCTTAGCATAAACATCTGCAAATAAAGTCATTATGGTATTACACTGGATTCCTAGGCTTCAGAAGAATCATTACAAAAACATGTGCCACAAAGTCTCTGTCAGAAGTATTTACAATGATTATATATTTAAAGTATTTAAAACCTAACAAGTGCTAATTAAATCAAGAACATGGAGTTAATCACATGTCGATCTTCACAAATACGCTTCGTGCTCTTCTTTCCTGATCCGTTTCTTTATGAATAGGAATCGGGGTTTCTGCTTGGATTGGCACCATTAAAATATGGAACTTTGGCAAAGCAGTCTATCTTAAGCTTCAGTGTATCAATGACCAATATATTACACTAATGGTCAAATGGCCAATTCCTTTTTCTTCTGCTTTACCCACCCTAACTGGATATTTAAGAGACCAGTGTAACTGCCTCATCTGTCTCATATTTAGAGCGGGCCCGTGAAGACCCGGGGTAGACTAGGACTTCAGCAACCCATGCCTGCCGTAAAAGGCGACTAACGGGATCGGGTGGTCTGGCTTGCTGACTTGGTTGATGCATGTCATCGATCACAATTGCGTGGATCGATGCTCATGTTGTCAATCACTGGATTGTCTATTCCAGACTCGATTATTTACAGACCGGCGTCATATAGCTGGAATATTGCTGAGTGCGGCGTTAAAAAACAAACAAACAAACAACCAAAATGTATTTATCATATTTAGATCAATTGGTCACCTAAAAAACTATGGAACAACACCTATTACATCGGACATCACTTGTGACATTTTTATGGCCTTAGTGTTGACAAGACTCGCCCCAAGCACAGGCAACATTAATTATTCGCCTAAATATCAAACCCCACTGTTCGACCTGAGACCTGACCTGAGTAGGCATTTCAGCTTAACGTGCCAGGAACCAATAAGCTGTTCTTTATGTTGGTTCTTATACAGGTGAGATGTTCGCTTTGAAGAAAAAGTGTTACGTTAGGGCACTGTCAGGACTCATCGCAAGCCAAAGTCAGACATATTCCAGCATGGTTTGTGTGAATGTCAGCCCTCGTGTGGCACTAGTTGACGAACGAGTCTCCATCACTGTCACAGGTCTTCGTCCTGTACAGAGAGTGACGGTACAGTCATGGCTGAAACAAGGAGAAGCAGTGTTCAGATCCAATGCACATTTTCTAGCAGACGGGCAAGGACAGATCGATGTTTCACATCATGTTTCATATGGTGGAACATACAGAGGTAAATATGCGTGAACATCTCTTGACAATCATATAAAGATTGGCATGATAGACGAGACTCTGATGGACTCAATTCTGGTTACATAAATTAAGTTTCTGGAACACGTCAGCACATATCTTTATACTCTCGAACATGTGTTGTTTTTTTGTTTGAAATAGGATTATTCAGAGCTACAAAACACAGAGCTTCAAAATCATGCATGTGGCTTGAGTCACATAGAGGGTGATTCCCAGCACTGTTTAAAAAAACATCATGGAGCATCTGCCCGCAGAGCGGAAGGCCGAGGGTTCGATTCCTGGCCGCGTCATACCTAAAGACATTTAAACATGATACATGTTAACACGTGAATATTCGGGTTAGCAGTGGTCTTCAGCAACATATGTTTGTCGTAAGACACGTCTTGCCGGATCGGGTGGTCAAGCTTGGTGACTTGGTTGATGCACGTTATGGTTTCCCAAGCCCTATTTCATCGGACATCACTTTTTTGTTATTATCGTAAGAGGCGATTAATGGGATTGGGTGGTCAGGCTCGATGACTTGGTTGATGCATGTCATCGTATGCAAATGGCGTAGATCGATGCTCATGATGTCAATCACTGGATTGTTTGGTCCATTTACAAACCGCCGTCATAAGCTGGAAACGTGTTGTTACCCTGCCTGGCCTTCGGCATTAAGTGGATTGTGTCTGAGTGGAGAATTAATGGTAAACTGTGGCATGGTGTCACAGAAAGTTTATTCTATCAGTTTACACTGATATTGTTGACATTCATCTATATGCGTATGATACAGGTCATAGTTCCTTTTTTATTCAGGTGTCGACAGCATGGGGCTGTTCAGGAGCATGAAGCCTGTTCCAGGGGCGTCCAGGAAGACACGTATCCTGAAGGATGATGTGATGACACCTCTGGTCTTCACATTGTCTGTCATGGATGGCCACATTGCCTTTGATGACCTCCAGCTGCCCAGGACAGTGGAGCTGGCCACAGGCGAGTTAGAACGCTGGTACAAACATCCTACCGTGCACAGGATCGTTGTGCGTGAAGGTCCCCTCAGAGGAACTCTCTTTCTGCCTCCTGGTATGCATCTCCTTTATTCCAACCAAGGGAAAGCCTGCCTCATTTGTCATCGGTACACACTGACATATCCTTACAGATATTCAACAAAAAATGGCATAGACATAACTTAACCTCTCTTTGGAGAATTATAGACCTACAAAAGCACACATCTTCATGCAATAGGTTTGAACGGATCAGTTATTGACATGTGGAAGAAAATTCTTAGTCTGTCTGTCAAAGTCTTATATACTCGTACGGGTATCTCAGTCACAAACAACACCAGCCACTTAGGTATAAATATAAATGCATGTATGCAAGCAACATCAATATTAGTGTTAATCACTGGTGGTCCTGATCATTACCGTTTGTGAGAGCTGAACATTTTCACAACTACATCCATGTTTGCCACACCCAGAGACTGATTTCACAAACTAAGCATTGGAGATTGGTTACAGGTGAAGGGCCTTTTCCGGGATTGATCGATATGTCTGGTTCTATAGGAGGACTGGTGGAGTACCGTGCTGCCTTGTTGGCTTCCAGAGGCTTTGCTTGCTTTGCACTTAGCTACTTTAGATATGATGATCTCCCATCCTCAATGGCTGACATTGACTTTGACTACATACTTGTAAGTTTTCGAACCATGCATAAGCATATTCTCCATTCGTGGTAAAGTCAGGAATGGTGAACCAGTAGGCCCAGACGAGCGTTCCTCATAGAGAGTGTTGGTGGGTGGGTGCGTGCGTGCTAGCGTGCGTGCGTGCGAGCGTGCGAGCGGAACATACATTTTTATTTCTAACTAGGTTGGGCGGATGTCCAATCCCAGGCACTATTTTAGCATCTTCTCGAGAGACAAGTCAAACAGTCAAACTAAAACGCATATCATTAAATCTAAACATGATTATGTATATGAAATTATACTGATTCTGCATTCGTAGTTTCGTGGTGAAATCTCTGTATGTAGATATAAGAGGGGTTGAGCAAAATTCTCCTGTGAAAACGTTGCAAAACAAATTCGGTAGCAACAGGTTTATGAGCACTTCGGGCCAGAGGAGCCCGAATGTACAGTTGGATCGAACTTGACCACAGCTATCGCAGGTGGTTTTCTTAACCACACGATTGTAACAGATGTTACACATTTCACACATGAAATACATACTTTATACCACTCACGAATGATTGGGTGATCCTGAATGTCAAAATATACCCATTTATATACCCATAAATTGAAGATAACTGAACTCAGGGTGGGTCCAAGATTGAAGTTTTGAGTGAACCTAAAAGTAAGGTTTTAATAGCGAAAGGTCACAATATGAAACATGTCTTGAAAGAGAACTGGAGATACTGACACGTCTGTGAAATATTCATATTCCCACATAAATAATATGTAAAAAGTTGTTCTGATGGTTTAAAACTATATTGTTTAAAAAGCAATTTGTCCTCGCATATGACTAATACGACTCGGCCATTTTCTCAGTAGACCCGGGGTAGAATAGGTCTTCAGCAACCCAAGCTTGCTGTAAAAGGCGACTATGCTTGTCGTAAAAGGCGACTAACGGGGTCGGGTGGTCTGGCTTGCTGACTTGATTGATGCATGTCATCGATCACAATTGCGTGGATCGATGCTCATGATGTCAAACACTGGATTGTCTGGTCCAGACTCGATTATTTACAGACCGCCGTCATACACCTGGAATATTGCCGAGTGCGGCGTTAAACAACAAACAAACAAACAAACAAACATTTTCTCAGGAAACAATGATGTGTGTAACACAATAGACTGACTTTTCGCACACGTATCGTTGCATAATTGGTTTGTGAGCGAGAGGATGTCCAATGTTTTTAAACTTTAGGATCAATCGTAATTTCTGACGAAACAAACGATGAAGCGAGACGAAATGCTTGCGTTCATCGATACAATCAATAATATTACAATAGGACTATGTACATGTATATTTCCGCGTTTGTTGAAGTTCATTTGACTAAAATCAACTTAAATCAGATTACAATCAGTAAAAATAAACCATAATTAATTACATCAACACCTGTTACGTCTTTGTTATCAATTCAAGTTCAATTCAAAGAGCTCTCATTAATGATTGCAAACAGTTTATGTTAGAAAATAACTGTCATTGTGATATAATGGAGACCTCTGATTTGTAACAACATTCTCAATTTGAGCATTTCTGGCAGTTTCGAATTCGCAATGAGGTTAAGGTCAGGAGGTTGGAAATGTGTCTTGTTAAGGTATCTATCTAGTGACATTCGGTTTTTAGGTTGCACTGCATTGTGTATTTTATTATATGGAATGGCAGTGATGTTATTGACCGGAATCGCACATAATTGTCTTATAGAACCACAATTCTGACAATTTCCCGGCCAAAAGTAAGGCAATTAAACAAGTTAAGCATCAACGTACCTCTATACAACCTTTAATTTGTTTGGGATTATAGTGAGAATGCGTTCGGAAAAAACTGAAGGCAATGGCAGCAGACTGAACATGCAACGTTAACATTGCATGTAAAGATTTCTGTTGCCATCTGAATATTGCGGTTAAGGGGCTGTTTTTGTTTCTGCAAATACCAACAAACCTGTTTCTGTTATTTCTGTAATGTTCGCAATATCCTTAGGCGCCACTGATAGAATTTGAACCTGCTATGTTAATACGTTATCCTTTTTCTTTCGTCATAGATAAATAAATCGTTTCAATATTTGCCTGTCACTGAGAGGTTTAAACTGGAAATATCCTTTATGTTTCTGTGAGAAAATTTTGAAATACACAATTATACCTTGCATGACATATTTTCAGGGAGCTGTAGATTGGTTGGCATCTCATCCCCATGTACAGGTAGGGGGTATTGGTGTGATCGGTGCCTCCAAGGGAGGTGAAGTAGCCTTCTTGCTTGGCATGACAACTAATAAGGTGAACATGTTCTTACAACCAATGAGTTATTATTGTTGTAAATATAGCCAAACAATCATTGAATTATTGCAGTACTTTAGAAGTGTTTTTTTTTTTAAATGACACAATAATCAGTATGTTTCTGAAGTGACTTACATACTTAAAGGGACACATTCCTGATTATTAAAATCATAGAAATGATTATAACAGGAACACATATAATAATTTTTCCTCACTCGCTCAAGAGACAAATGCCATTCTTTGATTTGATTTACTGAATATTTCATACATCTAAACTTGAATGGTAATTTCGGATTTCGCCAATAGGTGAAGGCTTTGGTAAATATCTGTGGCGCTCCATTTTACTCATTTGAAGATCTGAAGAAATCGGGACAGGTGTATTGGAAAGGTGTAAAGTGAGCTTTTCTCTTTGCATATACACTATATTCTGTTGGAAACTGTTGTTGTCTCACAACGTAAGTCTTGACAACGGAATGGTCGCATTGTTATAAAGTACTTGTTTATAGTTCAGTCTAGGATATACACACATATACACACAAAACAATGAAATACCAGTGAAATCCCAAAATATGAGATCCGTGAAGATCCGGGTTATTAGAATAGGTCTTTAGCAACCCATGCTTGCCGTAAGATGTAAATATACTTGTCGTAAGAGGCGACTAACGGCATCGGGTAGTCAAGGCTCGCTGACGTGGCTGACGCATGTCATCGTATCCCAACTGCGTGGATCGATGCTCATTCACTGGATTGTCTGGTCCAGATTCGATTATTGACATATCGCAGTCATGTAGCTGGAATATTGCTGAGCGCGGCGATAAACAACAAACAAATTCAAATGTGTCTTTAATTTGCTTTTCATTAGAACAGATATGGTTACATTATGCAAATAAACCTAAATCCTGGTTCAAGACCCGTAAAGATCCGGGGTAGAATAGGTCTTCAGCAACCCATGCTTGCCGTATAAGGCGACTATGCTTGTCGCAAGAGGCGACTAACGAGATCGAGTGGTCAGGCTCGCTGACTTGGTTGATGATATCAATCATCTGGTCCAGGCCGCTAGAATATAGCTGGAATATTGCTGAGTGCGACGCAAAACAACAAACCAACTAGAGCTGGGACGGGTAACTCGGGTACTCGCATCAGGTGAATACTGAGTAGGTCCCGGGTACCCACAGGAGTACCCGAACCCGTGGTTAGTCACGTGATATATTGTCTAATGACTAAAATTATCTGGAACTCTATGGTTACACTACAAGTCATTAATGTTCGCTTTTCTTTTTGACTATGCACCCATTCCGTCCGATTTTTGTTCAATGTTCAATGTGGTTGTTTGATGGTGTGTAAATGTTCACAGATCCGATGTAGCTGCCAGCACTGTTTTGAACAGTATTTCTGTGATAATACGGCATGCAAGTTAAATGTAGGGGACATTCTGATGTAGGCATTAGACGCATACCACTATCATACTGACAATTAACACAGCCACGGTCATAGAAATCCAGCAACTATTTTGCACAACTGTGCTTCACTCGACTGTACCACCGATGCACCCTCATCAAATAAGTTAGGACACACCTGTCACATTTTATATGAATAATCAAGGGATTAATGTCGATCATATAATAATTGATAATTCCAATTATTTTTCAGGTTAAACACCAATAATCTGAAATACACCGATGAAGGTGTATATTTGAAAGACAATCTCAGCTATGGCATTGAAGTCATTCCGGTCAGTAGACGAATTTTCATGTCTTCGTGGTCTCATTATTTATTATTCTGTGGTTAGTATGTTCCACGTGCGGCAAAGACTGAGTGAGTGAGTATAGTTTTATGCCGCTTTTAGCAATATTCGAGCAATATCACGGCGGGGGGCCCCAGAAATGGGCTTCACACATTGTACCCATGTCGGGAATCGAACCCGGGTCTTCGGCCTGACGAGCGAACGCTTTAACCCTAGTCTACCCGACCGCCCCTGGGGCAAAGATTGTGTAAAAATATATATTGAAGCATGTTGATTCGTAAGGTGGAGAATTAACGGATTGATAGTCAGGATTAACGTCGCGCTCAAGTTTATTGCACTAATATAGCGACATGCATGCACGCGCGCGCGCGTGTGTGTGTGGCTGCTCGTAGTAGGCCGGACTAAAACGGATATTATAGTGCTAGCGCACTGAGATATCATTGCCACAGTTTAAAATAAATACCTCCACTGTGACGGTAAACCGACTCCGAGCCGACTTGTCCTTTTCGTAGTCCATGCCGAGTGCCAGACAGGGTAACAACAAATACCATCTTTTGGTCTGACGCGGCCAAATATTGAATCCCCGACCTTCCGTTCTACCACTAGACCACGGAGGATAAGTTATGATATTGAATGGGTCTGATGGAAAAAGGGAAATGTACCTTAGGCTATAATGGGACATAGATGTGTAAATATTTTTTGATTATTTTGATTTTCAGATATTTCGCACTCAAATTATCTCATTGCAATAGGTCCGGGCCAAAATATGTTTTAACACCGCTTTTAAAAAATCGATTGGGGTCATAATATCTTAAGTAGGTATTTCATAAGAAATGTCACAAAAACAATACTTCTTGACTGACAGGAGAATGTGATGGCGAAAGTTTCATGTTTTTCAAAATACTCCCACATGTCCCTTCCCAATGAAACCGTTAGCGATAGGAAACAATGATGCGAATGTTCATGAGAACTTCGCGTTGATCATGTCGACATTTTGTTGTAACCAACGTACGAAGGGCACTGTCAATGCAACATCTTCCATTTATGTTTTCGGACCTGCTAAAATTACGTTCAAACACCTTTTTCTTTTTTCTTCCGAATCATTCACTATCGGCCAGTCTCCGAATAATGTTTTAACAAATTTATCTTTAGAGATGTCTGTCTTATAATATAAAATTATTTGGCTGTCAGTATACCGCATAATAAAAGCGACAAAACCCTTTCCATATTCCAAAGCAGAGACGATTGTACGATTCCGATGTGTCTTAGAATCACCGGCAAATAGGGATAATGCCAGGTGTTCGCGAAAAGGTGAGCGAATCCTGCCCCACGTGGCAACCGTCACAAACACACGCAAAGGCAAGGCAATTTTTTACCCCCTCCCCCCAAAAAAACAAAACAACAACAAACAAACGGGGACATATGGTACAAATCAAAATAGGGAATTGCATTGGACATCATTTGGAAATGTCCTCCACACGTCTAACATTTAACTGTTTGACAGTTTTACTGAGGCCTTGAATGTTGTAACCTTGATCAAACAACTTCTGAGCAAGAGTCGTATGGCGTTCTTTGAAATCCTGGAAGAATGGGCATGCTCGATTGTATGTCAAAAGTTGTGAAATGTAAACGCCAAAAGCTGGAGCAACTGAAATTTTGCTCGACACGAAGGGGAAGGTGGCTCTTGGAAAGTTGAACTCATCCCCCTTGTCATAAAATCTTGTGGAGAGTTTTTGTGAAGTTCTTGTGAAGAACATTCTCATCATGGTGTCGAACTTATCATATTTAATTTACCTTATGAAAAATATACTACAAACACACATATAATGAAAACATTCAAAAAACATAAATGCAACTGAACCCTTTCAATAAGCATAAGAAACTTCAGCTAGAAGCATAGCCCATTGTACAGTTCCATCTATTTCACCAGCATGTGGTTATGAATCCCAATCACATGGTGATGATACCAGGTGTTCGCGAAAGGAGAAGCATTTCTATACTGCCCCTTTTAAGACGCGCACAGGGGAAAATATATACATATACATATTATTTCAAATAACATTTCTTAATCGAAACAAAAATTTATGAATGTCAAACTTAACATGATGAAAATTATAGTGCCTGTTGTCAAATCTGACAAACGTTCACACGTCGTGAAATAGCAGCGTTAACGTCAATACCAGTTTTGACTCGCTTGGCCTGTATTACAGTTCTGCAACTCCGATCCAGTGACCGAATAGGTCGCTTAATTCGATTCTGTAGTATTCGTTCCCATTCATACTGCAATGCCTGGTGAAGTTGCGGAAGCATTTGAGGCGGTAGTTAAGGTTATCGGACACGGTGTTCGAGTTCATCCCATAGATGTTCAATTGGGTTTGAATCGGGTGATTTTGATGGCCATGGAAGCAAAGTAATGTTCTGATTCTGTAGGAAATCCATCGCGACGTGCAACATGTCGTGCGGTGTCCTGCTGAACTATCCCTCTTTAAGGGTCGATAACGGGAAGCAGGTGACGTTGGAGAATTTTATCTCGATAATTTAAAGCTGTCAAATTGCCTCGCACGTGCATCAGGTTGGCCCTACGGGTGTAGGATATGACTGCCCACATCATGACTGCCATCCCGGAATCCACTTCGACGACACATTCTTGAGCAAAACCCTCATTTCTATGTCGTCGCAGTAATGAACGAGATTCATCACGGATCCAAACAGTACGCAAGTGTCTCAGCATCCATGCCTGAACGTTCATACAACATCGAACGTCGGTACTGACGTCGTAGAAAAGCACCGCAATACGACCTTCGGGCTTGTAGTCCAAACTCACGAAGACGATTACATATTGTTCGCGCTGAGACCCTATGCAGACAGGTCACATTGGAAGCGGTGTCTGTCGTTGTAACGGTCAGATGAATGAACTTGTAGTTGTGATCCTTGGTCTGTTAGATCTTGGGCGACCTCCCGTAGACCAATACCGTTGGTATCGGAGATGCCATTGTGCTGTGGATGACGTCAACTAGCGGGCAAGTGACTCTCCAGCCTCTGTACGTCCGATGGCGTGATTTCGAGTTACATGGTATAGTTGCGGCATATCTAAAATTACTCAAAGTTCAGGCAACAGTAGACAGTTTACCAAAAGAATTCCACCCTTTTACACCCGACCCCCTTGCTCTCTCTATTTCCCCGAAAACCACGCGCGAAGTGCTTGCATATTCTATTTTGAAAAAAATCCGTTTTAATGTCAATAAATAACTTTTAGCAAACGGTGCGTTTAAGCGATGTAATCAAATCAGAAAACACTGTAAAGTACATCTGAGAACATTTAAGTAACTTTATCAAACATTTTTGGCGAAATACGCAGAATATTTATAAAGAAAATCACCAGTGCGTTTCTTATTGGGGATCCTATTCAATACATCAATACACTTATAATCTGTATGTATGTTTTCCTTATTGACAAGATCATTTAGTACAAGTAGCAGCTATTCTAATGGGTACTAACTGGACAGTTTCCCAGCTGGCCTGTTTCTCTTTGCATTTGAGGGGGCACGGGTGGCCCAGTCGTTTAAGGCGCCGCGATTCGCTGTGCAGAGTTGCGTCCCTTGGGCACGCCAGAAACCTATGATTGTGTCTTCGAATCCCAATTATGTTTCTAGGTTTGTCAGCACCATACCCGTGCACGTGGGTTTCACCGAAGTGGTAAACGTCTGAAACCTGCATCACTTCGGGCTTTCCTCCCACATTAATTAATTTAATTAAAAAGAAAGTACACATTGCCAAGAAGTTCAAATTATGCTTTAGATATATAGATGATTTCTTTCAAGCTAAGTTAATATCTTCACCTCACCTATCCATCAGATTAGAGCCGCGAAACCTAATTCAGTGTCCTATCTTGATATAAGCAAAGAAATTAAACAATTGGCAATCTCTGTTTCAAGCTGTATGACATCGTGAATTTCCCCTTCCTGTCAAGCTATATATATATATCAGCTCCAGCATAAGGCATCAATAATTGCCAGTTACCTCGGTATGTAAGGGCATGTACATATTATTCAAATTTCATGGGAAGACACATTTTGCTGACAGCTAAGCTTTTCAATCAAGGTTTCACCATCAGAGGCCTGGTCATGTCAGTCTATTGTATGGTAAACATTCATAGGAATTAACTAAATATGACACGTTACAACATTATTACATGAGTTTTCACACATGCTTACTCATTGGCACTTGCATTAATGAATCGGGTGGTCATGCTTGATTGCTCATGATACTGGTCATTGGATTGTCGACCCGTGGAGATCAGGAGTAGAATAAGTCTTCAGCAACCCATGCTTGCCGTAAAAGGCGACTTTGCTTGTCGTAAAAGGCGACTAACGGGATCGGGTGGTCAGGCTCGCTGACTTGGTTGATGCATGTCAACGATCCTAATTGCGTGGATCGGTGCTCATAGTGTCAATCACTGGATTGTCTGGTTCAGACTCGATTATTTACAGACCGCCGTCATATAGCTGGAATATTACTTAGTGCGGCGTTAAACAACAAACAAACACTGGATTGTCTGGTCCAGAATTGATTGTTTACGTGCCGCCGTCATCTGGCAGGTTGACTGCGGCGTTGGGCAACAAATATTAGATTTTCTATGAAATGTCGCCGATGCTATCGGTAGAGCAGGACATATTAGACTTTTCGCGAGCAACTGGTTTCATTACTGATTTTCATATATTTTTCCTTTTATGCCATTTTGAGAATCTTTTTCGGTAGACCATCGCGATAATTTCCATTACAAATAATTGGCATGTCATGAAACCAAACCTGAACATGCATACGGTATAGTCTCAGGTTTATGTCTATGAAGGTTTACAAATATGGCCTCCAATTAACCACATGCAATTTACATGTTCAGACACTATGTATTATGTCAAGATCACATAATATCATATGTCAAGAACCATCAAATAACATTCTATTCCGCTTTTACAGTTTTGACAAAGCCCATGACCAAACGGTTCCATTACTATATTGGACAGGAGAACTAAAGGACTGTCGAAATGTGAGGTCGCAGTGTTGATGAGCGGATTATGTAAATAGTTCAATTGAGCAAACTTAGCTAACTGCAAATGAAGACTAACGTTTCCACTTCAGGCCTGGAAGAATAATGCCCAAATCCTATACTTGCTTGGTGAAGATGATGGCGTGATGCCAATAGATCATGCTAAATATTTCATTGAGACTTGTCCTGAAGAGAAGAGGAAGAACATTGAACTTGTGTCTTACCCAGGAACAGGCCACCGCATCGAACCACCATACATGCCTATGTACAGGACACTGTATCACCCAGTACTTGGTAAGTTAACAAGCAACACCTTGTAAAGAGCCCAGGATCCGAGTTGGGTTTGGCCTTCATGAACCCATGCTTCTAACCAAATTGCAGAGATCGATATTCATAATGTCAATCACTCGATTATTTACCGAACGTCGTCATGTAGAGGGAAAATTGAGCAGTGCTACTTCACAATTTACATGTCTGACTTTAATTATTTAATCCGACATAATACAGAATGATTTTTCTGGATTCACTTTACTTCAATTCCCACACGTTCAAGCTGTAATCATAATATCATTCGATATAGGTACCTAGAATGAGAGAATATTAACGCATATATTAACACTCTGTAGTTGGCATGCAATTAACACAGCGTGATGATGGTTGAAACCACCAACCCACCAATGAGAGATATTATAAAAGGGTTGAGTATGGGAGCATGGCGAAACTACTTTGAGTGAGCATGTTTTATCAATATCCTCAATACATAAGCAATAGGTCCACTAAAGACAATTTATTTTACAATAGGTTTACAGTTCAGATGGAGACATCACACTGTTATGGATAACAACTTCATGTCCAACAGTACCACAGACAATTTAGCTGAATAAACTAAAGATGTAAACAATACTTTAGTTACTTGTCTATTAGACCTGTGTTGACAGATTCTTCCCACAGACCTCAGTTCCTTGGTGTACTCTGTATGTGTTTCCCCCAACAGGCATGACCCTGGTGGTGGGAGGACATCCTGAAGCTCATGCAGCAGCCGAGGAGGATGCCTGGAGAAGACTTCTCAACTTCCTCCACAAGCATCTGCCTCATTAGGACCACACATCATGTCCATCAAAACCGATATAACCAGTATTTAGTTTTGACATCTTGAGGGAAGGACACGCTGAAGCTCTAGCTGCACCTCAGAAGCTTACCTGGAGAGGAGATCTCCTACTTATCCTATGTTCTGGTGTAGACATCTTGGACATTCTCCTGTCTACTTCAGTTACCCTTACTTATTTTAATGAATCCGCTCTGAACAGACAAAACTGTTAGCGACTATTTGTTCAAATATTTTCAGCAACTGCTTAAATAAAATTGCAAGAACGTACATAAATATTATTCAAGCACGTAACACAGAGATCGCTAACAGATCACATCACTGCTCTGCATGATTCACTTTTGTTTATGGTCGGTAGATTTGTGAAATAAATGATTTAATGATTTAATCATTGTGCATTCTATTTCGCTGCGCATAAAGCGACAAATGTACATTTTAATGCACAGATGTATAAAGGAAATCACTCACTTTGTCAAGAGTTTTATACATCTATTTAATTTTCTGAATATATGCGTAACTTTCACCAGGTTCATCTCTCAGAATGCTTTTTACTTTCTCTGTGATATTATGCCAATACTCTTGTCTTGGAAGAACATGCTGCATCATTTAGTCTTGTACGAAATGTTCCCGTGTTTGTTCAGGAGAATACTTGGCTTGTCTTTGGGTGTACTTGCGACTTGCCGTCGGTGTAGCAGGATAAGCGCACCATTACAGCAAATATAGTGTCAGCACTAATTAAAGATGATCTAAAATTAGGGGACATCTCTTTTACTAGTGTTGAGCGAAAGAAAAGCTCCAATAAAAGATAAGGCATAGTGGTTGTGCGGGTCAGCGATGCTGAGAAGAAATGAAGATTAACGAAAACAAGTCACAGTTAAAGCAAAACAAGCGATACGAATATATCTACATTCAGAACAATATGTCTCTTGTGAAGTTGGAAGACACAGTCCAGCCTTTTAACCCTTGTAACAGAGCTAAAAATAGCGAGACAAGTTCTTTGTTAAAGGCAGAAGCATTTTCAAAAGGAAAGTACAGAAATAGGATTTACGACTGTGCCATAGGAATTGTGCTGGTTGGTCCACAAAAATGAAAATGAAAAGTCTAGTTTCAGATAAAATCTTATCAAGGCAAGTGAATATCTCTGCCCTCTGTGAGATTTTTATATGCGACCAAGAACAAGTACACGTTGTAGATTACAAATGGTTCAGTCATAATAGAAAACAAGTTGACAAGAAAGCTAAACAGGTCTCAGGAGGCGTTGGATTCCTTATCAAGAACAGTTTAACCAACGTGTTCAAAATCTCAGTTTTAGATCCTCCAGCTGAAGATATTAGAAGCCCGTGTAGTCACTCTGTGACTGTACGTGTTATCTCCTACCTTCAGGATCATCTCGTGCCAGTGACCCGGATCAGTTGCTCCGTGGTTTGCTACACCAGGCGTACACATATCAAGTTCAAGGTACCTTGTGGGTGTGGCGATTTCAACTCTGGATGCGGAATTCAAATGGATTACATTGAGGCAGTGGACAAAATACATCCCAGGTCAGTCATTGATACCAATGAAAATAACTACGGAACTATGTTTATCGACTTTCCTTGTGATTTCAACTTCTGACAGTAACGACTTTACTTATGTGTGTACTACAGGGCGATCGGTCGTTGACTATGCTGCAGTACCGCATGAACACATTTGTCACAACGCAGATTCAATCTATGTCAAGTATTATCTCTATCTTAATGTTTCAGTGCCGGATAAACTTCCCTATCATTCTGTTCTCGAATTCAAAGTTGTTATCAATGTTTGTGATCGGCACACCGTTTATATTGTCCCAAATCCTCCCGAGAGACACGTTCGTAGACCAGATATCCCTCATGATTTCTTGATACCAAAATATAGAAAGAGCAACACATTAGTGCATTGGCTGATATGTATTTTATGCATTAATCCCGTGGAACATAACAAATCTAACATTTTCCTGCGTGAATTTGTTAAAATATTAGAAACCATTTTGCACTAGTTGGCGAACCCGTGAAGACCCGGGTTAGCATATGTCTTCAGCAACTTTTGCTTGTCGTATGAGACGACTAACGGGAACGGGAGGTCAGGCTCGCTGACGTGGTTGATGCATGTCATAGTATCCCAATTTCGTAGATCGATGTTCATGATATCAATCACTGGATTGTCTGGGCCAATACTTACAAATCGCTGTCATATAGCTGGAATATTGCTGAGTGCGGCCTCAAATAACAAACAAAGAAACAAACTAATTGACATTTGAGTATAAGCAAACTCCAAGTGCAATAGGTACTGTAAAGATTGCTTTAAAGTTGAACATATTACAAGTGTCGAGGACTGTTATTTTCCAACCTTGAAAATTGAAAGGGATCGTAGTGTTGTTCGTTTTCATGTCATTCTGTTTTACATATGTATGTACTTTAGCTTATTCTCATTCTAAAAACAATATTCAAAATAATTAAATTCTGAACTGATAGGGTATCATTTGTATATGTATATGTAGAACGGATTTATGTTTTCAGATAACACAGACTCTAGGTAACGGCTGGCGTTGTCTGACTTTGCTATTTTTTGCCTTGCAGAACCTCACATTTAATGGTGTTTTTTTTATCATAACCCACTGTTGTCCCATATAGCCACCGAGGTGGGTGATGAAAGAGTGTTCAGTCTAACATGTCATGACTTAAATTATCTCATGCTGCACATGGGCTCACTTTCGCATGATGTCGTCTAATTCGTTTTATTCCGCGATTACTGCATTGTTTCACGATGAGGTATCCCGATGTTCTTTCTGGTATGTCTTGTCAGTTAAATCACTACTCCTCCGGTTTGGTTGAACATGTATAACCTCAAGCTTTTATGTCAAGGAATATTTCAGCAGGTCCAGGCTTTGGTGTCTACATTTTACAACTGTACAATCGTCATGCGAGTCTTTCTAAAACAGATGTTTGATCCGGTTTACAGCAGGCAATGCCCTTGTACAGCTTTCAAAAAGTATTTATGACAGACGCGTGAAGAACATTTCCAAATTTAACGCATCAGTGACTAAAATATTGTCCGTTGCTATTCCATATTTTGACTTGTACCATACTTGTTCAAGTGAACTCTTGACTTGCCTTTGCATGTTTGTGACAGGTGCTAACTTTGGGACAAGATTCGTTCACACTTTTCCATAAACACGTGGAATATTGTTGGAATCATACAATGGACTATGCTTTGACTAGTTTGTTTGTTTGTTGTTAACACCACACTCAGCAATATTCCAGCTTTCACTAGACATTTAATATAAATGAAAAGAGATTTGTCGCTTATATTATACTGATTATGACAAGGCTATTATCGTTTTTATATATTTGAAATCCGCTTAGATAATTAATTTTAATGGCATGAGTAAAATGTAAAAATAAAAGTGATTATTTTCAAGGAACATATTTACACCTGTATTATTTATACGTTATTTGTCATACCTGGCAGTTAGTAAATCGTTTAAGGACGTAAATATCCTGTTTCATTTCAGTTTGTTGTTAAGAACATAAATATATGATTCGGTTTTAAAAGTCTATGTAATAAAAGTGATTTAGTGTACAATGAGTCAGCTTGCTTTTGATCATTTTTCACATGTAAACGCGCAATTTGGTAGAATTCTTCGAGTACATATTCGGCATTCTCCTCATCTGGTCGCCTCTTTATTTCTACTCTAACAATATAGTTCACCTACAGAAACTTCGACACTTATCTCATTTCTATTCATACCCATGTCAATGTAATGTTTGCATTACGGGGACGATATTATACAAGGTCAATCATAGGACTCGTAGGCAGCCAAGGACAAACATATTCCAGCATGGTTTGTCTCAATATCAGCCCCCGTGTGGCACTAGTTGACGAGAGGATCTCCATCACAGCCAACAATCTTCGTCCATTACAGCGAGTGACGGTACAGGCATGGGTGGAAGAAGGAAAAGCAGTGTTCAGCTCATGTGGCCATTTCCTGGCAGACCAACAAGGACAGATCCATGTCAGTCAACATAACTCAGTTGGTGGAACATACAAAGGTATTTGCATAATCTCCATAAACTAAGACTCGCCTAATACTAAATAGGTGAGATTCAACAACCACAGTTCCTATTCAACCAAGTTTGTACATAAATTGATCGAATTCCTCTCTGTTGAATGAGTTTGAAGTAAGTGTTTGTGACATATGTAACTATTCACCATAATTCTATCTTTCGTTCCTGTCACTATCGACAGGATCGTGCCTTATTGTTACTTCATTAATGTGCTGGTAATTGGGACAGTGACGGTACATGTTCTTTGACTATCATTCGCATGTAATTAAATGTATCCGGATTTGTTTAGGTGTTGACAACATGGGCCTCTTCTGGAGTATGAATCCGGTTCCTGGGGTGTCTCTTCAGCCAATTCTCAGGAAAGTAGACGTGATGACACCCCTAGTCTTCAGACTGTCCGTCATGGATGACCACATACCCTTTGATGACCTCCAGCTTCCCTCATCTGTAGTTCTGGCAACAGGCGAGCTACAACGCTGCTACAAACACAGAACTGTTCGGAGAATCGAAGTGCATGTGGGGTCACTGAGAGGAACTATTTTTTTGCCTGAAGGTAAAGGATTGTATCTCTTTCGGTTTATATATGTATTCCACACAATAGGGGTACTTACATAAGCATTGTGACGGAGAAATAGATACTCACAACACCCTGTTAAAACAGGCTCGGCTTCTCGGACTGCCAATTCCACCCGTTTACTGGCGACCATGGTAGTTTCAAAAAGAACACCACAGATTACACAGATTCTTTTCTTTTCCATTTACTCCGAATATATTTTTTTCAAGGTCAGTGTTATATATACAGTTGTCATACTTACATGTACACACTTGAGGTTAAGAGGATAATACCCTTCCATTTACTCATCAGTTGAAGACATATTCTGGTGGGTAGTTTGATATTTGTTACGTTAACATTGTTGTTTACATATAGGGGCACATGTTTATTAGAGAGCCGTTATCTATTTAAAAATCCCAAATATTCACTTATTCACTTCACCTGTTCAACATTACATAACTGCCAAACATGAACTGTTTACAGGTAAAGGTCCATTTCCTGGAGTGCTCGACATGTTTGGTTCTACAGGTGGTCTGGTGGAGTTCCGAGCTGCATTGTTGGCTTCTAGAGGCTTTGTTTCCTTTGCTCTCGCCTATTTTAATTACGATGATCTTCCATCCTCTTTGGCCGATGTTGACTTTGATTACTTGCTTGTGAGTTGTTATCCTGGATTATGTACATTACATGTTTAATTGATGGCAAATCTATTTTTCTGTAAACGCACATTTTTATTGACTGATCTTAGCCCAGAATTGTGCTTGTCACTTATTACAACTGATAACAATAGGACACTGGCTTTTATTTAAACCTGAGACATCATCGTTCATGTACTATATTTCTTCTCTGTATAAGACGTTTTAAACCATGTCACTGCCACACTGAGGGGATTCAGGTAGGAAATGAAATGAAAGACTTTAATGTTTGATTTTTTTAGGATGCTGTACACTGGCTGGCTTCTCATCCTCATGTCAAGCCTGGAGGTATCGGTGTGGTCGGTAGCTCAAAGGGTGGTGAAATGGCCTTCCTGCTTGGCATGGCCACAGACAAGGTTCGCATAGCTAAACCGTCTGTACATTGTCTACAAATCAAATAACTTCACGGGGTTCATTAGGTTTCATTAGGTTTTGAAATCAGGTTGGTTGGTTGGTTGGATGGTGTGTTGTTTAACGCCGCACTCAGCAATTTTCCAGCTAAACGACGGCGGTCTGTAATAATCGAGTCTGGACCAGACAATCCAGTCATTGATATCATGAGCATCGATCCACGCAATTGGGATCGATGACATGCATCAGCCAAGTCAGCGAGCCTGACCACCCGATCCCGTTAGTTGCCTTTTACGTAATATGGATATGTGTGCACCTTATCCATATGGAACGTAAATCTTCCTGTATGATCAGCAACAAATGTAGAAGGAATCATAACAGTGATATATTCAATGACCAGAAGCCTTTGAGGATCAATGTAGAGAAAAAGTATTCAAATACTCAAATGCTATATACATGCATATCTACTTGTGTTTTCGTGGTAAAATTATACAATCCATAGTAATATTTCAACACCCTGCGTTCACTGTATGTTGAACCTAGCTTCCAATAAACGTTAACTTGCTGTCTTACTTTCTTGCTTTTATTAACAGGTGAATGTTTTGGTGAATATCAGTGGCCCTTCATTTCCTACTTTTGAGGATGTTAAGAAATCAGGAGAGATTGATTGGAAAGGGGTGAAGTACGTTTTTGACGCATTACATACAGACCAAATTCCGTAAATCTCCGCTCTCCGGTGCGTCACTGTTGCCAAATGCCACATTTGTGGATTGTATGGCCACAAAGGCGGTTGCGCATGGCAATAATGTACTTGATTTGGAAACCACCTAGATATGACAATGATAATGCATGTTCTTTGATAAATGGATGCTGTCTAAATCAGCAGCAGTTTCCGTCAACGTATTATATACAGACCATTTTCTCTGGGAGTCTTTAAATCTAAGCTCAGTGGTACCTCACTGTTGCATCACGGAGAACCTATATCATTCGTTGATTGGATGGGCACAAAGCATGGAAAGTATGTACTTAAATTGGAACCCATCTGGCATTGACCATGACAATGCATGTTCGCTGATAAATTCATGCAGTCTCAACCAGCAGCAGCTTCCCTAGTCACACGGGTCAAAACCACATGTATGGTGTTTTGTTGCTATTTGATTTTTGTTTATGTTAAGGAAATTAAATACTTTAAGGTTAATGAATATTCTAATGGCACGTTTCATGTTGTTTTAGGGGGATTGTATTTGTTAGAACATAATTATTTTTCAAATGGTACAGTATTTTAAATCTGCAGAAGAGATCAACTTGACAGTATGTCAGGTTTGTTTTATTTCTTGCCTTGTTACGTTCATATTTCATAACACTTAAAACCGTTAAATGAATCACAAAATGATAAATGTGCTTATATTTTACCACAATGTTACGGACGATTGATCACATTGATTTAAGTGACAGCATTTATCAATGAATATATACCATACCTCGTTTCCCTGCTGATTTATATTCAGGATGGATGCTACGAAGGTGAAACACACTGATGGAGGTGTTTGTATAAAAGACGTTGCTCCCTATGCCACTGGGGTTATTCCGGTTAGTTCCTTTGGCCATCCCTCTATCTACTGCAGTATTCTGTTCTTCACATCGACGTGTTAGCTGGGATGGCTGTATGTCCTGAAAGAAGTAGGGTGCGAACCCTATTGTTCAGAGGACAAAACGTTTGTCTTGAACCAGTGACTGAACAAATCCTGTCTCTGGGCGGTTTCCTAAACGTCTTCGACCTGAGTCACTTATGGCTTTAATTTCATGTAGTGAGTGAGTGCGTTGGGTTTAACGCCGCTTTTAACATTATTCCAGTTATATCGCGGCGTGTCAGCTTAATGTGTGAGGAAAGCCCAAAGTAATGCAGGTCTCAGACGTTGATCACTTCGGTGAAACCCAGGAGCACGAGTATGCAAGTGGGCCACCCGTCCCCCCTTAATCTCGTGTTATGTTCGAAACCAAATGTGTTTAACTAGATTCATCCAAACCTGGTTGATTTTAAGTGAGTGAGGGTGACTGAGTTTGGTTTTACGCCACTTTTAGCAATATTCCAGCAACATCACGGCGTGGAACACTAGAAATGGTCCTTTTATGCACTAATTTGATGAATGTGACTGTAACAAAAAACGATTTGGTCATTCTTTTCTAGCTCATGGCCTTGTGCCTTGACATTTTATGGCATGTGTGCAACAAATTCGGCAGGGTCATTTGGAAGAAGTCCAAGAAAGACTAATCCAAAATGTTAATCATCATTGTGCAGATGACATAAGAAAATTCAATGGGCGACTAATTATTCAGGTTCTGTAATTTTATAACAATTATTGTTTTTCATATGCCAGATTGGTAAATGTGTTCTGTACGCTTCAAGTCAGATAATGTGATAATGTATATCTGCAGGCATGGAAAAATAATGCCCAAATACTATACCTTCTTGGTGATGATGATGCTGTATGGAACACTGACCATGCCAACACATTCGTGAGGAGTTGTCCCGAAGAGAAAAGGAAAAATATTAATCTCGTCACCTATCCAGGAGGCGGTCACCTCATCGAACCTCCATATATGCCTTTGTATAGAGCAATGTACCATCCATTGCTTGGTGAGTAATTAAACAAACACCATGTAAATGGTGACATTTTAAGGTTTTGTAATAATTTGACAAGCCCATCCCTTTGATTCTTTAAATATTAAGATGTTTGAACACTGATATAACACTGACCATATAAGAATCAAGGTCGTTCCCATGGTCTGACCACTGCAGGGGTCGGGTCCTCGGGTCCTCGGGTCCTCGGGTCCTTGTTTTTGTCTGCTGACCTCGTCAAGAGTAATTGTTTGTATATTGTTTACCGTGAATTCTGGTATTGTCCAAGATATCAGTCTGACTAACCCTTGCCGGGAATTAGTGTAGATTGAGAAAGGGATTCATAATTCACCAATATCAGCTTCTTCATATGTTTGAAATCGAATATGGTAGTTGTTCCGTGTTGTATACAGCAATGAAAAGCACCTTGGACGTCAAACTCTTTGTACTGGCGGAAATTTTTATTTTTCAAATGAGACAAATTCTCTCTGCCTGTAATAAGCATCTGTACTTCAATGTCCTTATACATCAGCAACAGCAACGTCTGTTCATTACTCTTATTGATACAGTTAACAGGTGCGTTCTAATATTATCAGAAGTGTATAACTTGTTTATAATGAAACAGGTACACTGGTAAATGAGTATTTTAAGTCCTGAGAAATGTACCCTTGACCTGTATAGCTTACTCTGTATGTGTTTCCCCAAACAGGCTCGATGGTGGTAATGGGAGGACATCCTGAAGCTCATGCTGCCGCCCAGGAGGACGCCTGGAGAAGACTTCTCCACTTCATTCAGAAACACGTTGCGTAGAAATATCTGACATCTGACAAGAGGCGACTGAATATCGTAATAATAAGATATAACAAACTTACCATGTTCAAAGAATATATCCTTTAATATCCATAGCAACATTATCACATCAATCTCATGCCATACTGTAACATATCTCGGACATACAGATTTGTTTCATTACTGATCACGACTGTCAAATGATGGAAGAAGTTGGGTTGTCCAATGCGAAAATGAAGTGATATAGTTGTAAAAAATTGTGAACCAGGTGTACATAACATTGCTGTGTGTATAATAATTATTGACAAAATATGTAGAATAATATATGACGTCTGATGTATACCGATAGTCTTGGCCTCATCAACAAAGTGGTTATGGATGCAATTAAGGTAGTGTTTTACTATACAGACTCGATAAAATCACTGATGGAATAAGTCCGCCCTGTCACACCGACATATGGCTTGAATTTTGCCGAATCCGGCGTTACATCATAAACGATTAAACAATCTGATATCTACAGCTAGGTTACTTAAGGAGACACGGATACAGACAATTGTGTACCGGTTTGTGGAATAAAGCTCTGAAGTAATCACGTCCGCGTCACGTATTTAACAGACACCATGTGTCACAGCCTCGAACACGTAAGTGAAATGAAGCTGTTAATTACCTCCTCCCTATGTTTTTGTTTTGTTCTTTTAATGCCGCACTCAGCAATATTCCAGCTATATGACGGCGGTCTGTAAATAATCGAGTCTGAACCAGACAATCCAGTGATTGACATTATGAGCATCGACCAACACAATTGGGATACGATGACATGCATCAACCAAGTCAGCACCTCGCTATGTATTACACATACGCCTTATGTCACAGTCTCATACATGTAGGTGACAAAATACTGTGAGTCTGTTAGTCATGAATCCAACTTAATTCGAAATCATCAAGCCACTATTCGTGCTTGAGGTTTTCTGCTGTATTCCTGGATATAACAGAATATGAACGAAAGCAGCAACATCCTTTTCATAATCATGAAGAGGGCACGGGTGGCCTAGTCGTCAAAGGCGCCGCGATTCGCTGTGCAGAGTTGCGTCCCTTGGACACGCCAGAAACCTATGATTGTGGGTGATGTTTCTAGGTTTGTCAGCATAGTACCCGTGCTCGTGGGTTTAACCGAAGTGATAGACGTCTCAGACCCGCATCACTTGGGGCTTTCCTCCTATATTAAGCTGACACGCCGTGATATTACTTGACTACTGTTAAAAGCGGCGTTAAACACAACTCACTCACTCACTCACTCATGATCATAAGACATGCCTGCTAACAGCGCAGAGTCCATTGTAAGCTTTCAACTACACCATAAGTATGTGTTTCTGAATCACAATGAAATAGTAATAATACAAGGTGTTCGCGAAAAGGTGAGGCAAGTCAAATGTTCACCTGAAAATGCACGGGAACATACATGTATGTTTTGGAAATGCGAGTCTGGTTTAGAGACAACACATGTTGCATGTGAAATAACAGTAATTCTGTAACAGCGGATATCATAACACTTAGGAGTTAATGTGGAAATCCACTAAACTATTGCCATTTTTCTCACTATCTCATGAAAGTGTGCTTAATTTGAATTACATGTCTGCGATAAGGTATAAGAGATTCAGCTTCAAGTTCAAGGTCGCAGGCAACTCCTGTTTAACTTAAAAGTTTAATTGGTGATTTACAATGTCAATCATGATATTGAGTACATAGCTAGAATATTGCTGAGTGCGGCGTCAAACAACAAACATATACGTTCACTGATCAAGTGTGGAACAAGTATATGTAGTAGTATGAGGTATTTATAGTATGCACAGTCTCCATTGGTATTGTGTACAGAAATACTACTAACTGGTAATAAGAAAATGCGGTATTGCTTCTCTGAGAATAACACCTCTCCACTTTCATGACTGGTTGTGAGAGCATTCCCTTTGTTACGCTCGCATCTGGTACGCCTGTTGTACTGTCAGCTACATACTGACATCCCGTGGGGACCCGGGGTAAAATGTGTCCCAAGCACCCCATTGCTGGTCGTACTGGGCGACCGAATTAGGCAACACGTTTGCCGTGGGTTGCTTTTTGTGTTGGTGGGGGTTCTATTGGTTGAGGGCCTTGGAGCAAAGAACGGTTATTCTTATTCCCAACACGCCACTTTGACCCCGACTTCACCCAGACGGGTGGTAGAATTGGCATGATTATATCAATCGGCTAGCCCTGTGTATGAAGTTTTTTATTAGGTTTGACTCAATTCACTTACTTTCCAAATAGTCTTCTGTTCATCAAGTTAATGAAACTTGGGGAATGCCCAGAACGTTTCCCAGAAGGATCCTCTGGGGAATAACATTTCCGTATCCCTATGGCATTTGTTTTGCTGGAATGTTGTTACACATGACATCGCCTTTGTTGGCGCTCCGTGGCATCCAGGGACCAGGTTCGCTGATCCACAATAAATACAACCGTGGGTAAACACAATAGAAAACCAAACAAAATGGCAACTATCAGAATCTGATTCTGAGCTCCATTCATCTGATGATGAACAAAAAACAGTGACCTGGTAGTTGTGTTCCGAAAGGAATACTTAGCCTCGTTTTCTTGTCATGGAATCTAACCCATTTATTTTGGAAAAAAGGACTCAAGGTAAAGCTGGTGAGTGGAAGGATAGTAAGAAATTACGATCTGGAGCGCTTTTGATTGAATGTACCAAGGAAACACAGGCGATCAATCTCATGACATCAACTAAGTTCGTTGATATACCTGTTAGCTGTTCTGCTCATAAGACCCTAAATTTCGTCAAGGGTATAATCCGAGAAACTGTTGTGGAAATTGTATCTGAACATCGGAGGCAAGGTGCGATTGAAGCCAAATTATTCACATGTCATAAAGAGAGCTGTGAGTTTCCATCAAACACATATCTTGTGACTTTCGACACAAAAGCTCTACCAAGTTCCATGCACGTGGGCCTCTACATCCCACGACCTGTTCTATATGTTTTAACACATGGTAACATCTGTTACCTCTAAAATGCTCTAATTATCAAGTTTATCATATGTCATCTTCAACTGTCTGCAGTGAATATAAGTTTCAATCCATTGTCCAAAAGATTAAATATGAACAAATATCAGCTATTTCGATGCCAGGAAACAAACAAAACTAGTCGAATCAATAGTCACATCTGGACTTCTGCCGATAAACCAGTTAAAACGATTCAAACAGCATCAGTTCACTGTCAGACGAATACTCAACAACAAAAGTTCCTGTGACACCAATATTTTAGTGTTTTTTTCAAACAAGTAAAGTTTGGTTATCAATATTGTAGTACATGTATGGAATCAAGTCACAAAAACGCAACTGCTACAGAAAAGCATGCATTTCATGCAAAAGTTGACATTATGCAAGCCCCATGCATTTCACTACCGATGAATGGGTATAGAAACGTGTGCGTTAACGGGATTCCATATGCATTGTTTAGCATCGCGCTGACAACAACCACTCAGAAAAACAACAAAATATCGCAGTTATTCAACATTACGAAATGCCATCCTGTCCGAAAATGAGCGTCTGCGAGCCATTGGTATGCTATACCTATACTAAAGGTGACTGAAAAACATGCTTGAATATAATTGCGCTTTAGCGGAAAACAGTGATACTTTTGTTTGGGGATGAAATAACTAAAATACACACTGACAAATGTATGCTTAAAGTATTTATCAACTTTTGGTCATGTTTGTTAATTTGTACATTTCATTGTTACCGCCATCCTGATGATGATGTATGTAATGTATTTCAGAGGTATTGATATAAGCGTTTATGCTTGATTACCAATTGGAATTCTTTTTCTAAACAAAATTATGTGTACACAATGTACATGAACATGATATTGGGGACATATAATAAAGCATATATCCTCCGAAAATTTGAGTCAATGTTTATGCATAATTGAAAATGAAAAGTGACGAACCATTTACAACAAATGTTGAACATATAAATGGTAAATTTGATATATAGTATCGTCCTCATCATAGTTCATATCAAATTTTGTAACGCCTTCGTGGTCAGCCCTGGGAGCGGAAGGTGCGGGGTTCGATCCCCTGCCGGGTCATACCAAAAGGCGTCAAAAGATGGTACTTGTTGTTATCTTACCTGCCTCCATTAAGGGTCTAAAACAAGGACTAGTCGGCTCGGAGTCAGTGTACTCAGTGTCTGAGTAGGGTATTCATCTTAAACAGTGGCATGGTATCTCACTATGAAATCGGCTGTAGTCCGGACTAGTACAAGCACGCGTGAACACAAACACGCACGCACGCACGCGCGCGACGTCAAACCCCATTTCACCTCACCTCACCATATCAATTTTGAACCATAAAACATGTAACAAGTAAAACAAGTAATATTATTTTAATCTACAGAACTTGTTCCTGGTTGATCACAGTGGATCTGAGAAGAAGAAACTATTTACACTAAAAAATATTCCCAACTTTTGTAATCTACGACATTTAGATTATGCAGTCATGCGTCAGGTGCAGTTGCATATCAGACTGTTAAAGGCAGTATATTCCTCATTTTAATTTTAAACTTTAAAACCATTGACAGTGACTGACTCCTGCTGGAGTCTGCAAATGGACTGTACGTCCCCATGGTGTCTGACCTGGTCACCTACCTTCAGTTACTGGCGATCGATAGCCCATATTCATATTGTGTTGTTAACGAACATTTCATTCTTTAAAATGTTCTCAACTAGTTTTAAATCGAATCCTTGGTGATCTAGCTATTATACTGTCCATCGACGATGGTTTTCGTTCAGTCTAAACATATTTGGTATTTTTGTACAACTTCTCGGCACGATATGGCTGAAATATTGACGATGTGACATTAATTTTTAACTCATTCACTCACTCACTCACTCACTCACTCACTCACTCACTCACTCACAGGTAAATAAAACACTACTCATCGGTTCTGGTTGAAAATGTAAAACCTCGAGTCCATATGTCCTGGAATATTGCAGCATCTCCAGCCCAGACTTTGGTGATTTCATTTGTTGAGGTACAATCGAGCATGGTCTTTAAAAAGGCGTCATGCGAGTCTATCCGAAAAGGATGTTTGATCAGTGTTACAGCATTCAAGGCCTTTGTAAAGCTTTCAAAATGTTTATAATAGACATGTGGACCCCATTGCCAATATCTGACGCATCAGTAACCAAAACAATGAAGGTGAACCCTTTATATGCCTCTGTATGTTTGTGACAGTTGCCACCGTAGGGGCTGGATTCGCCAAGCTTCCCGAGAACATGTGGACTATTGTTGGAATCGTACAATGGACTATGATTTGGGCAGACATTTCTATGATGAAGTTTTAAATGAAAATGTTTCTGTCGTTGTTATTAGCATGATTATGGCAAGGGATTTCGCTTGAATATATATTTGAACATACATTCAGGTAATTTATTTGAATGCGATCAGTAGAATGTAAACATGTAAGTGATTCATTTTGAAAAACCAAT